GAAGGAGAAGGAGAAGGAGAAGGAGAAGGAGAAGGAGAAGGAGAAGGAGAAGGAGAAGGAGAAGGAGAAGGAGAAGGAGAAGGAGAAGGAGATAGAAGAAGCACAGTAGGACAGAGGCAGAGAACAGAAAGTAAATGCCGCTTTCCTTCTCTGCAAACAATTATAATTGCCAGTTTGAACTACCTTATTTGAAGATGCAAATATCAGGAAACTAAGTTTAGTTAATGATATAACCAGACAGCATAATTATTCAGTTTTTCTATCAACTGGGGATATGTTGATTCTTCTTTTAAAAACAATTTATCAATAAAGTAGGAATTTTTAAAAAGCATAGAAACATGTGCTTTAGAAAAGTCATAGATTACTACATGCCTTCTTCTCTAAAGTTTTGCTAGTTTTAATTTCTATTAATATCCATATATTCCATAATATTCCCCAAAGTCAGTCAAAGCATTATAACTAACCATTAGTCTATCTTCATAAAAAATAGTAACAGTACCTTTGTAGGAACACTTAATTGTAAGACTATAAAATTTTCAGTTATTCTCAATAAAGCATGTTCAGCTATTTTTCTCTTACCTGATTAACCACCTCAAAATACAAAGCCAAAGTTGTAGTAGGATTAAGTCCACAAATCTTCCATTGACAAGTACCTCCTGTTCCTATTTCCTATAAGGAGATTGCAAATGAATTTGTAGTAATAATACAACCTGCTACATACTAGTAAAACTTATTGCATTAAAAATGTATTGCAATAAAATACCTCTTGTTTATTTAGATACAGCAACGTTATGAGATTTTTTTCATGATACCTGAGATAACACAAATCAGCAACAACTACTAACTAGTTATTTAGAAGGAAGGAAGTAAAAAGCAGTTACAGGCTAATTTTCAAAGTTTCCTCCCTACAGATTCCATATCCAGTGCCTGTTTCCTCTAAAGTAAATCCCACATAATCATTATTCCTAGAACTCCAATATTGCCCTCTCACAAAAAGAATAAAAGACTTCAAAGACTTAACTCATTCTATAATCAAAACCATTTTGAGACTAAAGACTACTTCATCTGATGCCTGATGTAGTATATTAAAATGGAAGCAACGAAATGCCACCGTATGGCCAAAGAAAAAACCACAGGGTATCTGTACAAGATGTTCCTTGCACAGATCCAAAGAACAAACAAAACTAGGAAGTTTTGTAATAATGAAGTTACAAATACTCTGAATGGTAATATATCTACTTCAGCGGTAGTAACCAGAAAGACAGCACAAGGTGTAAAATAAATAAGCTCAAACTTTCCTATTTACTTACTTCTAGTAGCTTCAAAAAAGAGTTGCTAGTGTAACTGTATGGTATAAAAGTCTGTGTCTGTGTGTGTGCCTTGAAGTCGGTTTTGACTCCTGGTGACTGCCTGGACTAGTCCCTGCAGTTTAATTTCTATGATGCAATGTACATGAATCTTTAATCAAAGAATAAATCCAATGTTTCACCAAACAGCTACTACTCAGGTAACATGTGTTTCGTTTCTCCACTGTTTGTCCACCAAATCTGCTCCAGAGGATTCCATAATCCTCTAAAGTAGATTTGGAGGACACATGGAGGTCTGCAGAAGAAAAGAGAAAATTTGAACCAGATCTTTGAATATCACTTAGGCTAATCTATAAGAAAAGGGTCTGGTGGAGGAAGAGGAGAAGGATGTATGTGCCACCCAACTCCCAGTGACTCTGGATGTTAAGTGAAAGAAAGCAGGATGCAATTTAAAAGATATCCATTTTTGAAATTAGGAATCATTGTTGCCTAAAAATTAAGTCTAGTCAAATTTTTGTTTTAAAAGTATATATTGAAAATGACAATAGATGATAACAAATGGAAATAATAGTAGATGGAATCCAAACTCATAGGGTAGACCATTTGTTTTCTTCTTACCCATAGCTCCCTGGGTACCTTAGAATTTGCTCTAAAAGACTGGAGTTTCCCCCCATTTCTGAGCAGATTTTGAGGGTATGGAAGCTGCAGCAAGAAAAAAGGAAGTGAAACTCAACAGTATTTTATACAGACAATTAAGAGACTATCTCAGAACATCTCATTGTGCTAAGGCGAAATCTATACACAGGTCAGGAAGCCACAGTACTGTACAGACAGAACATGGTGAAACAGACTGGCTGCAGATTGGCAAAGGAGTGAAACGAGGCTATTCACTCTATTGTTGTTGTTACATTTTTATCCCACCTTTTTTATATATATATAACTCAAGGCAGCAAACATACCTAATACTCCTGCCTCCTATTTTTCCCTGCAACAACAACCCTGTAAGGTGGGTTGGGCTGAGAGAGACTGACTGGCCCAAAGTCACCCAGCTAGCTTTCATGACTAAGGGAACCCTAGAACTCACAGTCTCCTGGTTTCTAGGCCAGCATCTTAACCACTTCCCCAAACTGGCTGTCATATTCATCCTATATGTAGAATATATATTGAGGGAAGCTGGATTGGAAGAAGATGACCATGGTTTTAAAATTGAAGGAAGAAATATCAGTGATAGTTGAAAATGCAAAATCTGATAGTTGAAAATGCAAATGATCTGCAAGCACTAGTAATGAAAGCAGCACAGTGAAAAAATGGGAATAAGATTAAAGAAGACCAAACTAATGACAACAGGTACAGCAACCAGCCTTAGAACTGAGGGTGAAGATATTGAAATGCTGGATAGCTTCTACATTTTAGAATCAACTATCAACACTAAAGGAATCAGCAATCAAAAATATTGCAGCCTAGCACTTAGTAGAGTAGCAATGAAGGAAAAGATATTCAGATGCCATGATCTGTCCATACCTACAAAGATCAGAATTGTGCAGGCAATGGTTTTCCCTGTGACACTATGGAAGCGAAGGCTGGACTTTGAAGAAGCAGAACAGAAAGAGAATTGATGCTCTGAAACTTTGGTGTTAGAGATGACTCCTAAGAATATCATGAATAGCCAAGAAAATGAACAAATGAATCATCAAACAAATAAATCCAGACTTCTCATTTGAGATACAAATGCCAGTTCAAATTATCCTACTTCAGACACATTATGCAGAGACCGAGCTCTCTGGAGAAATCTGTAATGCTGGAAAAAGTGGAAAGAGAAAGAGGAAGAGGATGACCAGCAGCAAGATGGATGTACTCAGTTACTATGGCGATGAGTGCATCATTGGAAGAGATGAAGGACCAGGTTGGAAACAGATCCTTCTGGAGAAAATCTGTGTAGTCACTAAGAGTTGACGCTGACTTGATGGCACATAATAATTTAAGAAAATAACAAAATAATTATTTAGGATATTTGATCAAAAATAAAATTTCTATTGTACTTCATGTGTTAAAAAGAGCAATGGTACGGATTATATAATCAAGCAATAATCTCTGATTTTCATGTTAAATTGTGTTAAAAAGAGCAATGGTACGGATTATATAATCAAGCAATAATCTCTGATTTTCATGTTAAATTGTGTTAAAAAGAGCAATGGTACGGATTATATAATCAAGCAATAATCTCTGATTTTCATGTTAAATAACTTACATTTTCTGATACACAAGGGCTCTTAGAATTGAGAGATATACAGGGTCCAATTGCTCCAGATACCTTTATTTCTCTTGAAGTCTGTATGGATTTCGATGTAAAAGAGAATAATATACAGAAGGTAGGTTAAAAATTCATTTTACTACTAATCACAGTAGCATGTAAAAGTGAAACTGAGTAGCTGTTCTATCTAGGTTTGAAGCAGAACCAGTCAACCTTTCAAAAATAGCATCTATGATTTTGTTGAACTAATGGTTGTCATGCTTCGTCCCCAAAACTATATTTTTTGTATTAAAAGTATTTCTGGCATTTATGCACTACTTCCTCATATTATTTATAGCAGATTACTCAATTTTCTTTAAATTTAAAGTATTTATTTTCTTTTACAAGAGTGATGGGTTACAGATGTTGGGTGATCTCTAGGAGCAGGAATTTGAATTAGAATATTTTTATTGTCCTTTGAAGCCTTATAGTTTTCCTACTCAGCATTATATCAAAACATACTACTGACCTATAGAGTCCAGGAGGTTATAGAATTCTGACTGGCACTGGCTCACCAGGGTGAGATACTTTTAAACTGAGATTCCAGAGCTTAGACTGGAGCCCTCAGCATGAAAAATATCCATCTACCATTAAGCTATTGCCTCTTTTCAATATTATTTTGTTTCTTAAGCAGCATTTCATTACTCCAACAAGGTATGGATAAACCATATATATTCCCTTGATTTCATGCACTGCTGCTCAACTGTTGAGATGGCAGAGGAAAAAAATGCTCACAGCAAAAAAGGTTTCTATTAAATATTCAGTACATCATGTGAGTGGAATCTAAATATCATACTTATGAGTATACTCCCATGCACTAGAGAGTTTGCTGTAACTGCACAGGAACATAAAATACATTCAGCAATCTATTTTGTAGGTTAGTAAGAACAGAAATTAATACAGTTTAGCCAAACAATGAGTGCAGAATCACAGCTGCACAGTTAAAATTTTAGTTTGCACCTTTAATCCTAGGATCTCAGTGTTTTACTTCACTGTGAAAAGAAGCTGTTCCATTTAAACAGTTTATTTTCACAGTAAAATAGAGAACTTTGATCCTAGGATTAAAAATTTAAACTGAATGTTACTGCTGGCAATACTCCCTTTCCACAAAAGTCTGTTTAGCTCTGAGCTGCACAATAAGGTATGATGGGATAAGAACACCAGAACTTTAAATATTTATAGTAAATTTCATTTCTTACCTTGATTTCTAAGGTGCCTCCAAATCCCATCTTGAATTGCCCTTGCACATCTTTTGTAAACACCCGCTGAAATGTTTGTTTGAACAAAGATGTATTGAAAGAGTCTCCCATTACCATGTAACCTCTACATGAAGACCAAAAAAAAAAAAAGTAAGACACACATATGGAAAGCCCTCAAGAACAGTTACATTGCCATTTAAGATTTTTCTTAAATTGGCAGAACCTGGTCTCCTACCACAACTGCACATATCTGCATCTGGGAAAACCTCTGCCCTTCCATTTCTTTACGATTCTTCATATTTGTGAATGTAATGTTTAAAAGTAGTCACCAGAAATAAACAAATCTCGTGTTATCTGTCATGTTACTTTATATATACTGACTTTTTAACATATTGTTCACTGAAGAACATATATAATGAAGAAATTAAATTCAGCAAGTGGGACTGAACTACTATTTTATATAATTTGAAGAACAGCTAAATGCTGTTCAGCAATGTGAGCACAGGTATCTTTTAACTTTATAGGCATCCTGAAATTATGCTGGAACATACTTTTGAGTAAATGAAAAAAGGATCATATTTATGAGGTCTATTCACAAACATCAAAAGTTTTGGCTTGCATACCAGTTACATATGTTCATATATGTACGTCCAGTTGGCACATACAGTAAATGATTTTTTTCTTAACAGTTTATTGAAATAATATTTCTTCAGTAGATTGTATAATTCATACATATATCCTCTCATATATTACATACCCTGTGTAGTTAGGACAGCACTTCATCTCCAAAAGACCAGTTTGATCTAATGCGCAGGCATAGATGTCAATAACATGACCTGTTGTAGCAGCACGGTTTGCAAGAGCTTCAAAATGCTATACACAAAATATAAAGTTTTTTTCCAGTTATCTGAGTTTCTATAGCCATACATTAACACAAGATATTCAGGTCTATGACAAAAAGATGCAGACTAAATGCTTCACATCCTTTTAACCCTTCTCAATATATTTTTCACAGTATCTGCTTATATTTCTTTCCATGGTTATATAAGATAAACAAAAAAGTCAACAAAATGGTTCAAAATTGTATTTATTAAGCATGTTATACAAACACAACTCATGAATCATATTTTGATTATAAACTGATATACTATCCATCTGTATTAATTCGTTTCATATGCCATCTGAAGATTAGAATTATAGCTTGCTCTCTCAGAATATTTTTAGGGAGACTCTAAACATTTTTAAGACTTTAAAAAATTCTGGAAAATATGTAGTCTAAAATCCATGTCATTTTGGAATGTATCAAACACACTTCTTAGATAACATAAATGAAAAGTACCATTTATCAAGTCTCTTACCTTAGTACCTTTTTTAACATATTTGGCATTATCTTTTTCAATGTCATGCCAAGATCTTATAGGGAGCTTAAGTTCATCTCCCACAACCATCCCAGGCCCCTGGGTAGCTGGTCCACCAATGAACATCATTATACGAGCACCAGTATTAGGGAAAGTACACTGCAAGATAATAAATACAGTTCAAGTCAAGGAACAAATAAGCCTCCTGAAGTCATTTTTTTTGATATTTAGAACTGCTTATTCATGTTCTGAAAGAGATTGCAGGGTTAATTAGATATGTAAAGTTAAAATAATAATAATTATTCAAATGTTAGTATATTTGATACTTGTGATAAAAGAATATGTTTCAGAAAAACATTTATCATCTTTGCAAATAGTTACCCTAGAACTTTCTAACTTAAATCAAATTCACATTAGCTTAATTCTTTTCCCAAGTCACATCAGAGATAACATGTTACCTCTAGCAGTCCTACAGCTATGGAAAGAGCCACTCCAGAAGACCGCAAAGGTCTTTTCCCCTGGGGAACAGGCCAAGGATCTCGTTGTAGTTCACCCAAGAGGTCAGTGAGATTCATGTCAATTTTCTGGACTGGTTGTAAGAATCTAAAAAGAATAAAAACAGTTTACTTTCAGGGAAACTACTTAAATACTTCTTTTTCCAAGTGGGAAGTGAAATCCAGCCTCGCACAAGCAGAAGCCCATTCTATGGGCTCTTCACTTCTACCTGCTCCTGTCTCCCACCTAAAATCTGCTCTAAAGAACATTTTGAAAATGCATATGAGAGCCAAAGGAGGAGAAAAGAATAATGCCAATGAAAGCAGTTCTAGCAGAAAAAGTTATATATTAGATTTCATTTTGGAAAATATGTACTATGCTGTTCTACAGTTTCAATTTCTCAAACATGATTTAACATTCATTCAGTAGTTAGCAAGCTTGTAAATCTGTGTTCCAAGGAATGCTTAATTGAAAGGATTTATAACCTATGACTGGGTGAAATTCTCAGTCTGTATTTATTTTGTTTTTAATTAACATATTGATCATTTGGAAGAAGACACCTATTGAAAGTTGTTCAGTCAACCTGCAGAAACAACATAGCCAACATCTACTCAAACACACTTATAATCTTACCAGCATATTATTTTAAAAAGTTATTCTATAGTACTACTATAAAAGAGGGAGATATGGAAAGAAGCTAAGGATGGGCTGCTTGCAGGGATGGTGGAGATTTGTCCTGCCCTCCAAGTATCAGTATTCATCCCTGAGGCCACATCATCAGATCCTTGGAGTCCTGAGCTGTGGATGCTGTTACTGAATGCCAGGTTGGTATGCAATAAGACCACACTCATCCAGAATCTGATTGTGTATGAAACAGCTGACCTGGCATGTATAAGCAAGACCTGGATGGGTTGGGAGGAAAGAGTTCCCCTCAAAAAGATATGATGATCTGGGTTTCAAGTTTGGCACCAGCCATGAGCCCAGGCAGGGTGCAGTGGGTTGTGGTGGCAGTTGATCATCCATGAGATCTTAAAGACTTTCAGAGGCCCTGCTCTGCAGATAAACAGGTGTGAGACACTCTGGTTGAAGCTGGGCTCTAGGGAGCAATTGGTTTGTTGCTGCTATACCAGCCTCCCTGCTTCATAGCAAAATCCCTATCTGAGTTGCTAAATTTTATCACTAGAACAGTAGTGAAGTCTCCAAGGTTTATAGTTCTTGGGAATTTCAATCTGCTCCCAGGTGGTGTGGAATCTGGGTCAGCTCAGGAGTTCATAGCCACCATGGTAACAATGGACATAACCCAAGTTATTCAAGAGACCAACACAGGCCAACATAGACCAGACCAAAATAAACCAGCTTATTTTTCTTATTGTTTTTAGTTATTTTATATGCCACCCAGAATCACAGGCAGCCTATACATTAAACTAAATAAATACACACTGAATCTAGATAATGTTTATGAAATTTTAGCCTGTGGGAAGTTAACTAATAGAAATGCATTTATCTTTAGTATGGCCCAGATATTATTCAATGTTTTGTTAGTAGCCTACCCTGATCCTTTTGGTATCTTAGCCAAAAGTGGGGGTGGGGGGAGGGAGGGAGGGAGGTATTGATGCTGGTTCTTAAGGCTTCAGCACTGGTAAAATCAAAAGCTGGTTTGAAAGTACTTTTGGATACATTATGTGAAGACTTAGCTCTCTGGAGAAGGTTCAAATGCTAGGAAAGGTGGAAGGAAAGAGAAGATGATGACCAGCAGCAAGGTAGATAGACTCAGTTACAGTAGTGATGAGTGCTCTGTTGGAAGAGCTGAAGGACCAGATTAGGGACAGATTATCATGGAGAAAATCTATCTATGTGGTCACTAACAGTCGACAATGATTTGATGGCACATGATCAATCAATTGAAAGTAGTAATCAGATCAGCAGTTCTACAAATTACTACTACCTAGGTATCAGTAAAAGAATCACCAAACAGGACACTGATACAAGGAATAATTTCAAAATTAAGTAATTATAGAGATACATAACAAAGCAAAGCTTACTGTAAAGCAATTGAGTAAACTTTCTTAAAATAAAAATGAATACCTGTTAGATGGTGGTGGCTGCTGTACCTGAGGACCACGACCCACTTGTGATACATTGATTTTTGTAAGTCCTAGCATTTCCTATGAACAGTGTATAACAGAATAGTTACATATTTGGCAAATCACTCAAAATAACTACAACTATCCAGATGTAATGGGAAGAAGGAATAACCTTGAGGAACAGGAGGAAGAGCTGCAACCAAGACAATGGTCAGATAAAAGAAAT